TGGGAAAATAATTCAAACGGCAGCCGGTGGCGACATTTAATTCCGTTCCGGATTCCCGTCGAGGTGGTTGTACTTTTGTTTTTGTTCGTTTCTTTATCACAACACATTTCAGCACTAAGTGTTTACCACATTAGAACTCTTTACCACATTTTCCCTTCTAAAGCTTTCTAATTCGGAGCTTCTGTTTCTATCTTTATGTTCCTGTATTATCAGCATTTTAGATTTAGATTATCAGCATTTTTTCAGATAGAAAGGCTCCAGCGGATGGGACCATCAGGATGGGTATTCCTAACCTTCTGCCATTTGTAAAGAATGCATGTCGGCAGGTTTGCATCGTCATGCTTCATTAAAGGGAAATTATAAGAGCACATCAATAATTTGGCCTATTTTAGGGGAATGTGGCAGAATTTTCGGGTTGTTCCGTTGCTGTCGACGTTAGTTGTTTGTTGCATCGAGGTCTTTTCGGTTGTGCGGAAAGTATAGCTCAAGGGAAGAAAACAAATTTGTTAGTTACCGCTCACTTTTCAGCTATTGAGATTTTTCATATTCACCGTTTGGTGGTATGTGGTTTTCAAAGAGGTTTTCTACGCCCGTCTTTTCCATAAAATAATTTGAATGCCAAAGTCTGTCGCTTTCTCTTGGGTGTTTTTCGAATCAACCTCGAGACCGCCGTATAGTTCTACTCTTACGGGCAAAACTGTTGAATAGTCCTCAACGGGACCGACTGGAAAGCTATTTTTACGGTTATGATGATCTACTTACTTGACCTGTTTTTCCAATAATTAACCCAAAACATGAACAATTAAAGCAAATTCAATTTTGTTCAATCTGTTGTTTCAATTTCAACTCTTCTTTCAGCTATATCTACTATGTGGAGAAGCACATTAAAGCTTTGCTGAATATTGGTTGTCATGTTATCATGGTGTTTGATGGTCGTCCCCTTCCTGCTAAGAAGGTATGTGTTTCCCTGCGTTATAGTAGTAAACCGGGATCCGTACCGGCACCGTCGTTTGCAACATTTGCAGCCTCGTGATAAGCTGTTTACAGTTTCTCATATGTTTTGTTTCAAAATGCCGTTTTCCAGGATACAAACAATGGAAGAAGACAACGACGTGAAGATAATGTCAAAGCTGGTGAACTACTTCTTGCAGAAGGAAAAGTCAATGAGGCGATGGACAAATTCAAACGAGCCACTTCGATCACTACCGAAGTCGTGGAGAGTACCATCGAGGTTTGATTTGTTTTTTTTT